TAAATCCATTGAGTATCCTTGTTGGTCTTCAGACAACAATTCTCACAGCTAAAGAACCAAATGGGACAGGCAACAACAAAAAAAGAAAAATTATATGACGCTCTTACCGAGGCACAAGCCAGTTCCTTAACGGCCAAGTCACAGAGGTTTCCACTCGTCTGTGCGCTGGTGAGTTGGAGCTGAACTGCTGTTCTGTGGTTTCAAAATAAAACATGTGATTGGTACTTTGTTGACATCTGGGACAATGTTGCATAAAAAGTAAACTCTCCAACAGGTTCATGTAAATCCTACCTGTTCAAACCGATACAGATTTCCGTTTCTGTACCAAAAAAAGGAGAAAAAAAAAGTTATAAATTGACAATAAAAAATTGTATTTTTATGCATAAAGAAGTGGAGAACTTACCATTTGCCATGCTGACATTACACTTGTAAGAGAAACAAACACAGAGCACATTACAAATCTACTATATTAAGACTAATGTAAGACAAAATATATAATCTACAACATACAATTACCTCTCCAATGATGATGCAGTCTGAAATAAAAACGCAGGAAATGCAAATCAGTTTAATGTATTTTTTTTAAAAAAAAATCAGTTCATTCCTGACGCTTGCTGATTATTGACAATTTACATTTAGCGTGTCCATAGAGTAGGTGGTGTGTGGAATAAGATGAAACAGCGAAGAGACAAAGCTGGATATAAGACTTTGAGAATTACTGTTCTAAATCTTTATGTTGATGTAACACTCACCAGGTGGTAGTTGGTGGGATAGAGCCTCTTTAGTCTGTGTGATAGTTGCAACGATGCCAAGAGAAACCACAGGTATGGCCAAGTCCAGTCTGGCAAACCTGTAACACGTAAACACACAGATTTTAATTATAGTGCCAGATTATATAAAATTGTTTAACCACTTCGAAAGTGCCGAGTATAAGTAGATGTGAAACTCACAGCGTTTTGTATGAAGAGCAAGTGAAGTTTTCCTTGGAGGAGAAAGAAAGCAAACATCATTACTTTAACAAGCACAGGAAAGTAAAAATGATGACTTAACAGGAAGGCAGTTGCTCTTTTTACCGGGTGAATGAACACGGTGAGGTTGGTCAGGAACTCTGTGAATTTATTCTTTTCAGCAGACACGGTCAGGTAATCGAAGAGCGCGTTGATGATGACAGCTTTGTCCGGCAGATTTGGAAGCGACAGCGACAGCAGCTCTGCGCTCTGTTGTGCAGTCAGGAGTGTCAAGACTTCAATCTAAAAGGAAATACGGAACAAGTGAGAGTTATTTCTATTAGTTCACAGCTTTGTCTGTTTGTATTGTATTTAATATCGCGTCAATTAACCGAAGTCCCATCTCACAGGGTTGAATTGTGGGTTGAGATGGATCAGCTCAGTGAGCGACAGAAGTGCTGAAAATGGACCGAAATTCTGCTGTATCCACACTGCAGTGCTGTTGGAGGTGGACACACAGCTGGAATCTAGAATAAGTTTTTAAAAAGTAGAAATAACTGTAAATGATTGAATTTTTATTTATTTAATTTTTTTAGTTGTTAAATTAAAACACGAAGCATGCGCGTACCTGAGTGTGGCTGCGTCAGGAACTGCAGTATGAAATCCTGCAAGACCAACTGCTGCTGGTTTGAGG